GTGGAAGTAGTTTATATGAATAAGAGACGTGAAACGTGAGCAGTAAAAACGTTAAACGTGAAAAGAGAGAAAAAAACCTGTGAAACAGAAATAAAAAACCAAGCGTTCAGTCTAGAAACAAAAGTGTTGAGTTTCTTATGCAGATTCATCAATACACAAAATCTTTGTTTCCTAGTGATTCAAAGATGGACTTGAGCACCAACCTATCAAAGAAGCAGATCGACGACTTTCGCTGTGAATTACAAGGTACACATATTGTTGTTGATTCCTCTTAATGTTCCTTCGGTGGTATCAGAGTCATTGTTACTAATCTCATTATGTGTTGCTTTCTTGGATATTCACTTTGTATGTATTTAAGAAAATAAATTGAGTATATTTCTTTTAATAATTAGTGAATAAAAATAAGAAGAAAAAATTTAGTAAAAGATAAATTTTTATCTGACATTTAATTTTGGATTAATAATATAGAAAATAGAATTCGAAATCCTATATGATTGTGAATCATGAAAGAGATAGGATTACTTGACCTGCTATGAAAAAATAACTCTGCATTTATATATATATAAAAAATGCTTTTGTTTAATAGAAATTTGAAAATTGGTTGAAAAATATTTTTGATCAAAACTTATTTGATCATAATCTGGATGTGCATTTCTTTCCGAAAAAAATATTATAAAAAAAAGGAATTAAATCGAGTTAGATACAAATTGTTAAAAAAATTGGCTGTCTTTTTTACAGTTTTCCAATAAACTGCATATGTCTGGACCCATCTAGAAATTTGTTGTGCAGTTTTTGGATAAAAATTTAATTATTTTACAATCTGCTCGTTTTAAGCTTTCCGAAAATATAATACAATAGAGAAAAAGACTTAAAATGAGTAAGATATGAATTTTTTAAGTTGAGCTGAAAAAATACATTTTTTTAATTAATTTTTTTTGGATTGAGAGAGTCCTATTCAGGATCATTTTTATATGTTTCCTCTTTAGGATCTTATTGGCCTTGTGTATTCTTTTAGTCCTAATGTTCCTTAAACAGTTTCTAGCCTTTTATGAGAAATTTGTGACATGTTAAGATGGATTAATCATATTTCTTTTTGTTCCAAATTCAGATGTGGCTTAAAAGGAATATGCTCAAATTACACTAAGTGGGAGTTCTCATAGTAGAGCAAAAGGACGAGATCAAAAAGCAACCCGCCGTAAGATATGTTTCTGAAGGCAAGAAATCGTATAGATTGGTGTCCCAAAAGATACACAAAGTATGTTAAGGGATGAAAGGACCATTCGAAAAAAAAAGAAAAAGATCTAAGAGAGTTTAAGTCTTTGAACATTCGAAGAAAAAAAGAAAAATATCTTATAGAGAAAGTCTTTGAAGATGGATCCCCTTGGTTGTTTAATAGGATTTTCTCAAGATTTTTGTCAAAAAAATTTAAAAGCTTAATGAAAGTGAAATTCAAGTTTCAGAGAGGAAAGGGTATGATGTTTTGCATCATTCTTTGCCAGAATAATGGAATTATGAACTAAATCAAGTTAGAATTTAAATTCGGGATAATAAAGAATTATGGAAATACTATGTCAAAATAGGAGTTAAGTGGATAAAACCTCACCTATGGTGTATCCACATATTCCCTTTTTAATCAATAAATTTTTTTATTACTATTATTATTGTAATTTTTTTTATTAAACTTTGAAGTGAACATCTTTAATTGCGTTTTAATATGAATTTTTTTGAGTTTTATTCTCTTTTATTTTGGATGAGCGAACGATTATTCTATTGCACAATACTATATGGTGTTAATAATTAGACATGCAAATCTGTGTGATTATAGTCTAAAATGAATTAGCTTACACATTAATAAGTTAATTTCAAATATCGATTAAATATTTAATTAGTAAATGATGAATGGATGCTTAAGTGTTTTTTCGATTTTACATTTAAATATGAAACCTTTATGAGAATTGTTGCTTGAATGTGTATATCACATGCATAATTATTAAAAGGCCAAATACATAAGCAGGTCCCTAATGTTGTTCGCGCTTTTCTCCCAGGTACCTCAACTAACCAAGATTCCTATTAAATCATTTAACCCCCTATAATTTGATCCTTTTAAATATTTTTGGTTGATGTGGAGCCAAATTTCAATAAATAATTTTTGGTAATTAGGCGCGTGAGATGAACCTTCCCCACGTGGAAATTTTGACCAATGCACTCCAACCCAGTTACACGTCAGTGCCACATATTAAGTCATGAAACCTAAAAATCAATTTCCCCCCAAATCACTTCTAATCCGTTTCTAAACGAGAAAACCCTAAGAATCTCTCCCTTTCAATGACTTTTACAGCAGAAATTCTTAGATTTTAATGTGATTTCGAGTGTTTTGTTGATGGAATCATCGAAGATTGTTCATTCGCGATTTTTGAGTTGACGAGTGTGAGGTAAGTGACGAGCATGTTGTTGTGGTTGTGTGTTTTTAATATATGTGTTTATCCTGTATTTTTTATTGATATATACTGGGTTTTAGTATCAATGTGGTTGTTGTTGTTAATATCTAGATAAAGTTAGGGTTTTTTGGTTTTTATTGTTCATAACGTGTTAGAAAAAATTGGGCCTTGTTTCAGGGAATCTTATGGACGCCATTATTATAACTCGTATTCATCATGGTGGTAAGTTTATTTAGGACAAAACTGGAATTACTTATAAAGGGGAAGCCGAGGTTGAATATGTTAATATCGACAAGGACAACTTCTCAATAATCGAGTTATTTTTTTACTCTAAACAATTGGGGTATATTAGTGTTGGTGGATTCTGTGTTAAAGACCCCACAAAAAATGGCTTTATTGAGGTAGACACTGATTTAACATTAGTAAATCTCATCAAAGACCTAAAAGATGGTGGCTTTTTAGACATTTATGTAAAGCATGTGGTGGATGATATAGAAGTGATCACAACAGGTTTGCTTTGTGGGTCTGTCGTTGAAGAAGACTTAGAAGATATAAATGTGACTGCAAGTGAAGGGTTGAATCATGAGGCTGAATCTGAAAATGTTAATGTGAAAGTTGAGCCAGGAGATATATCAGATCTAGATGTGGAATGGACTGAATCAAATGAAGAAAGTAGTGATGACTCTCAAGAGGATGCTATTCCTGATGTGGATGACTCTGAGGTTTATGAAGAATTAAGATCTCTTAGAAATGAAAGGAGAAACAAAGTGAAAAAGAAAAAACCTACTCAAACTGAGGAAATAAAGCTTGGAACAGTTGGTGTTGATAGAGGCTTTGAAGACATAAGAAGGAATAAGACTGCTAGATACACTGGAAGACTAGGGGGTGATGAGCAATATATAGATAGCTCATAATTGGACAGTGAAGACAGTAGGGATGAATTGGATTCAAAATTTGTGAAGGGTGTTGATTTACCAAGAAGAAGAAAAAGTAAAAAGGTAAGATTTGATCCTGATTGTGTTGTAGCAATTTTTGAGCTTGGTATGGTATTTGAAAGTGCTGAACAATTTAGAAAAGCTGTTGCAGACTATTCTGAAGGGTTCTTGCAAGGGAGAATTGTTAGTTGCTGTTGGTAGAAATGGAAATCAACAGATGTTTCCAATCGCATGGGCTGTTGTTGACACAGAGACAAAACATAGTTGGAGTTTTTTTCTTAAGTACTTGATAGAAGATCTGAACTTAGGCACAGGACATGGACTGACTGTTATGTCAGATATGCAGAAGGTAAATGGTTTTTGTATTGTATCTTGTTCTATTATTTTTTTTCTTGTGTTGCTAATACTTTTTAATGTTTGTGCTACAATTGCTTACATAGGGCCTTATACCAGCTTTATGTGAGTTGCTACCAGATAGTGAGCAGAGAAGGTGTGCTAGATATATCTGGTCCAACTGGCATCAATTATGGAGTGGTGAAGAAAGAAGAAAACAGTTCTGGAGATGTGCTAAGTCAAGTTTTGAAGTGAAATTTGAAGATGAGATAGATAAACTCAACAAATTAGGTAATAAAATTTGTGAGGACTTGTTGCATTATGAAAAAACTACTTGGTGTAAAGCATATTTTAAAGAGCATTCTAAGTGTGACATTGTTGAAAACAATATGTGTGAAACTTTTAATTCTTGGATACTAGTTGCTAGACATAAGGCTATCATAACTATGTTAGAGGATATTAGGCACAAGATAATGGATAGAAATATTGCAATGAGGCAATTTGCTGAAACTTGGATCTCAAATATGTCCTATGGCTAGACTAGTACTAGAAGAGAACAAAGATCTTGCTAGATTTTGTGACGTTAGATTCAATGATGATATTGGGTATGAAATCTTAGATGGTCAATACAGACATATTGTTGATATAAGAAAGAAGACATGTACATGTAGAACATGGAAATTGAGGGGCATACCATGTCAACATGTTGTGCTTGCATATCAGCACAACGGCATAGAACCTGAACATAAAGTGGTACATTGGTATAGGAAAGAGACTTTTTTTGAAGGCTTATAACCATTTTCTACAGCCAATACCAAACATGAAAATATGGCCTCACACTAGTGGTGTAGTGATTGAACCTCCTGAACCAAAAGTCATGCCTGGTAGGCCACCAAAGTGCAGAAGAAAGGCAAAGAATCAGCGTAGAAAAAAGTATGGAAAGTTATCCAAAAGAGGAGTAAAAATGACATGTTCACTGTGTCATCAATTAGGCCACAACAAAAAATCTTGTCCAACATTGGTAAGTTATTATTCTCTTCTAATACATTTATAATAAGCTTCAATTATTTGCAATAATCAATTATTATTACTGTATTAATAGGCTGAAATGGGACAACCTGGAGGCTACCCAAACAGGCAACCAAGCTCAAGCCAGCCACCATTGTTTAGCCAACCATCAAGCTCAAGCCAGCCACCATTGTTTAGCTAACCATCAAGTTCAAGTCAGCCACCACTTTTTAGTAGACCATCAAGCTCAAGTCAGCCACCAGTATTCAATCATCAAACCAGTTCTATGTTTCTTGATTCTTCAGCTGTTAGAAGAGAGCAACAACCTGCTAAAAGCAGAGGTACATGCAGAGGCAGAAGCAATGGGAGAGGCACTGGGAGAGGTACTGACAGAAGAACTGGTAAAGGCACTGGTAGAGGTACTGGCACTGCCAGTGAAATTGGAAAAGGCAGTGTTTTCAACATTGGAGATGTATCAAGTCAGCAACCTGATCAACCAACGGCTGTGGAAGCTTCAATATCAACAGGAAGACAAAAAAGGACCAATACTATAGGATTTGGCATCTATACAAATGCAAGTGGTAGTCAAACCTTTAATGTAAGTGTACACATAATTTTGTTCATTTCTTACTCTACTATATAAAGTCTCATTTTAAGATATTTCCATGCAGCCTGGTACTTCAGCAGAAAAAGTTATCAATTCGAGAGTTTATAAGGATGCAACTCCAACAAATATTGATATTGGTTATAAGCCTCGAGGACTCAAGTGGAATCGTGGAGATGTTGTCACTGGTTCACAGTTGCAACGTATCACTCAGTCAAGGAAAAACAAGCGTGGAACATCTAGTGCACCAAAAAATGCCTAATTTATGTAGAAAAATCACTTTTTTGTTGTGTAATTAGCAGTAGAAATTTGTATTGACTGCTTTGAAACGTGGAGCTCACTAGAGCAAATTAATGGCATGAATGATCAATTTTTACTGCTTTTGAGGCACAAATTATCTTCATTCCTTCAATTAAATCATTACAATAAAAACACAAGGCATTTACAATAGAAAAATCGATCTAAAATTGCCCATAAAGAACACTCGAATCTACCATACATACTTTTATGAAGGAATCTAATAGAAGACAAATGAATCAACTAAGATTATTTTGTTACAAAAATCCAAGTAGCCAATATCACCCCTACGATGATGCATATTATCCATAGTTTTCTTGATCGATTCCTCTCCAATTCATATGTTTTGACTCTTTTAATCAAACCCCATATCACCCTTCCTAGCTTGAGCAGACATTTCATCATCATACCATCGAAAATATCCACATCCACCTCGTGCCTATAAAATTAAAGTAAAAAATTGAATTATAAATAAGGTGATTCTTTACTATATTGGAAAAAATAAATGAATTTGATTTACCTTTGAAGTTTTGCAACAAAGGAACCTACGTCCAGGATTGGATTGCGTCCATGAGGTCTTCATTTCCACAACGTTTCCACATTGACATAGTACCTTCGCAGTTGAAGAAGAAGAAATCGATGAAGAAGATAAATTCAACATTGAAACTTGATGATTAAGAAGAAATCAATGAAAAAGAGATATAAGAGGAGAAATAATGATGAAGAGAAACAAAAGAGGAGAAATAAGGGATGAATATAAACAAAAGAGGAGAAATAACGGAAGAATGAGAGAAATTAGGGTTAAAAGGGGGAAGAAGTTCGTTGGTGGGTGGTTCAAGATCCACATCAGCTCTTTTAAAGCGTCTGCACGCGCTTAAAGGACGAGAGATCATGTTTGGCTCCACATCAGCCAAGAATATTTAAAAGGATCAAATTATAGGGGTTTAAAGGATTTAATAGGAATCTTGGTAAGTTGAGGTACCTGGGAGAAAAACGCGAACAACTTTAGGGACCTGCGTATGTATTTGGCCTTATTAAAATTCTTGACTAATTATATGTCAATAACAGACATGACATGCTAGAATAGGTCACATAGGGCAATATTGAAAGAAAAAAATTACAAAAGAAGGGCATTTAGGTTCTTTGACCAAAATTGAAATGTCTACTTATGAAAGTTGTCTTGGTGGAAAGATTACGCGTAAATCATTTGAGAGGCTAAGAGAGTTGAATTCCCACTTCAATCAATATTTGTGGTTTAATGAATGTGAAGGCAAGGTCTGGTGCTTCATACTTTATTATAGCACTTGATGCTTTAAAAGATATATGAATAAAGTTGAACATCTGTACGAAATATTGAATTTAGAAGATCAGATAATGTTTGTTGACACTCAATTTTGACCGACCTTTAATCTTTTTAGGAATGTTATTCAATTAAACTTGTATTTTTAAAAAATTATTTTAAGTTTAGAGTTTTATTCGTTTTGCATAAAAAATGAAATGTTTACTTTACAAAATTATTGTGAATTTTACTTAATTTTTTTTAAAAAAAATCATTAATGAATTTTGAAATTACTATTTTATTCAAATGCTTTAAATTTGAAGTGATTTTTAACTATATAAAAATATTAATATATGTAGTATTTTAATTGGATAGTAATTTTTAAATTTTTATCAAAATTAATTAAATTGTAGCCCATTTTATTCTAATTCTTTTCAATCTAGCCTATTCAATTTCAATTTTATTTCAATCATAGCCAACTTTTCATTTCAATTCTAGCAAATTTCTTATCGCAATTTTATCCATTCCATATCTTTTCCAATCTAATTTCAAGACTTCATCTTTTGATCTCATCCGTCCATCTTTAAAATAATTCATAGATTAAATCATAGTCATTCATCTAAACTAATCCTATGATTGTGATTAAATCTCCTATTTCTAATACCCTAAAATACCTAATCCTAAAAATCCCTCCTTCTCCAGCAGCCGCCTCTCCTCCCTCCTCCTTTCTTTCTCCTCCGCCTCCACCCCTCCCTCTCCATTCTCTTCCTCTCCCCTTCTTCTCCCCTCTCCCGTCATCCCCCTTCTCCCTCTTTCTCTCCTCTTCTCCTCTCTTTCCCTCCCGTCTCTTCTCTTCCCCTTTCTCTTCTCCTTTCCTTTTTTTTTGCAAGTACCAGCAGCCAAGCAAGGACGACCGCAGCAGCGACTAGCGCCTCCCATCAGCAACCAAGCAGCCGCCGGCTGAATGCAGCAACGCGGGTAGAAACTTCAACCAACAGCAGCAGCGATGGAGGCTGCTCTGACCGGCTTTCTCCATCCAGCCATCGGCAAACAACAAGCAACATCTTCAACAGCAACCCCGGCGAAGCAAATGAAGAAAGAAGATTTCCGGGCAAGTTAAAGTACTTTGACAGTTCTTTTCAGATTGTCCCCGGTTGTTTTCTTGTTCAAATTACCACTTTAATTTCTTAGTGAGTTAGTGATAGTATCAAGGATGGTTATGATTTAGCTTATTTAAAATAGCATCATAGTTAATCTGATTTAATGTTTTCAACGAGAATTTTAATGTCAAGCTATTTTACTGATGACTTTGGATCTTGTAATGGATGTTAGCATGTCTTGAGTATTTACTGTTAAAGCTTCAATTGTTGGCTTAAATATTTCATCATCGTAGTTTAACCTTAAAATATTCAGTTTTCTTAAGAGATCAAAATCTTGAGCTTTTTTCGTGATTTTGAGATTAATCAATTGAACCTTGATAAATGTTAATCTAATTGTGTCTGACTATTTATTTAATCCAACTCACTGGTGGTAACTTCTTGTTTAGGAATAGCTTGGAAATAAGTTTACACCTTGTGCTAATTGATTATGAATCAATTTATTTTGCTCTCGTAACAGAAACTTAGCATGAGAAGGAATAATACTTGGCTGGAAATACTTTTTTCTTTTATACAATTTTTGGTGGATTGTAAATATTGATTGAATATAGATTTATTTTTTTAATTATAATTTATTTTTCTTTTTCCTCATGGTAGACTGAATTTGCTTACCTTAGTTTAAAATTTGACTGATTTCTTACTTGCTTATTTTAGGAAAATAATTACTTTGATTTGGTTCTTCTTTATTTAAAGAATATATTACTCTTCCTAATTTATTATTATTTTTTTTATATTTGGTAACATAATAATATTTTAAAATATGATTTTGGCTCTTCTTTATTTAAGGAAAGACATTTTTACTTTATTCTTTCTAGTTTATTTTTGGTAATGAAATATTGTAAATATTTTTTGATTTTTGGCTTTCCTTGAAAATAAGGAAATAGTATTATAATTAGCTCCTTGATTTTATTTATTTTCATTATTGAGCTCCCACTCTTTGCTATATAAATAGGACCCCCTCCCCCCAACTCACACACTCATTCACTTTTATCACAAGTTCAATCATTACACTTTGCTCTCTCATTCTCTCCTTTCTTTTCTTGAAATGCTTTAAATATTTCTCCCTATTCTTAAAAAAGAAGTAAGAACTCAAGTAAATCTTTGAATCATCCTTTGGCCCCTTTATTGTTGTGTTGCTGTTGTTGATCGAAAACCTTACTTAATACTTCATTGTTGATTCTCTATTCTGTTTAACCGGTTAGTGTTCTTAATTAACATTTATATTATAAGTTAACCCCCTTCATTAGTTTAAATTTGGGTTTTGCATAATTATGAATTGTCATGTGTTGAAAAAATGAACCAACAAGGAAGCACTGTTAGTTTCTGTAACAACCTGTTTAGTCGGTTCGAGCAGTAGAACTATTTTTGATAAAAACTGACTGGGTCGACGGATCACGCGACGGACTGTCATGGTCACGACGGACCGTGATGGACTTCGTCGTCCCATAATTGTGTAATTTTTCTTCTGCTGCTCTCCTCATTACCCTCGACTACAGGTAGGACGAACCGTCATAGGCACGACGGTCCGTCGATGGCCTTCGTTCCAAAACATTTCAACTCTGAAATCTGAGTACTGAGATCGACTCTCTGAACTTCACGACGAAACTGCAGCACGGACCATCGTAGATACGACGGACCGTCACAAGCTACGTAACCTCACTACTGAAATTAACTCTCTGAACTTGGTGACGGACCTGCAGGACGGACCGTCGCAGATACGACGGGCCATCACAAGCTGCGTAAACCCGACTTGGTCAGACTTCCGCTAAAAGTTTTAAAGGGGTGTTTCGGACTATTCAGGATTATAGTTATGAAACTAGTGGGGTAGGTTTAATATTTATTTACTTGGGGGTTAAAGAAGACAATAGGGAATAAATAATGGGTTACTTTTATCATCTTTTATAATTTATTATATGATAATTAGGGTAAAAGAAAAAGAATCTGAAGAAGAAGAATAAAAAGAATAGGAAAAGGGAGAACGAGCGAGAGAGAGAACGAAGAGGACAGCAAAGGCATTGGGAAGGTAGCTTGCTTGATCACGATTCTTCGGTGGAGGTAGGTTATGGTTTATTTCTATATGATAGATAAACTCTAAATAGCGATCGATATGCATTGGGTGGTATGGTAAAGTCTTCTATGTGCTTAATTGTGTGTTTATATGTTTGATTGTGTGATTGTGGTGGGTTATAATGATGAGACTGTGGAATCTTCGATCTTAAATCCTCTCTATTAAGATGACGCCTTGACATAAAGAAGGCTTGATGAAATAAAAATAATGAGATAAATGGATCGGAGTGTCACGTTTTGACATGGTATTCTTGGATCGGAGTGTCACATTCGACACGGTAGTATTAAGGGATCAGAGTGTCATGTTCCGACACGGTATATGGGATTGGAGTGTCACGTTCCGTGACGATAATAATAAAGTGAAGGAATCTTGAATTATGTTAATATACTCAAATTCGAAGAACCTATTTCCCAAATGAGTATGGTGTGGAGGCTTGAGTCCTCATAGGTGTGCTTGGTGTT